GGTCGACAATCCCTGAGATAAAATGAGTAATTCGTGTCACAGCTGTTTGCGTGATGTTGCTGTGCACAAATTGGCTGCCATGTTTCACCCACAAAACAGTCACTACACTTTACACTAAATCCTATGAAGCGCTTTGAGACATCCTCCAGATGTGAAAGATGCAATATCAAATGTGAGATTGTTATTGTAATAATAATAATTTGTATGATTCTTAATAATAAGCCTTGCATCTGATATTGTGGAGTCCTGTAGCTCAGTGGTTAGAGCACTCGCTTTGCAAGTGAGAGACCTGAGTTCAATTCCAGGCAGGGCGAAACCTTGGGCAAGTTTCCTTACTCCACACGCCTAATAATAATCCCTCCAAAACAAAAACAATAATAAAAATTAGTCATTTTCAATCTATGACTGTTTGTGGGACATTGCTGTGCGCAATTGGCTGCCGCGTTCCCCCACAAATATACAGTCAATTCACTTTACAGTCTATTCTGTGAAGCGCTTTGGGACGTCCTCCCGACGTGAAAAGCGCTATATCAAATGCAAGGATTATTATTATTATTATTATTATTATTATAGCGCCTTATCACATCTTCAAAAAAAAATCCTCTGCACCCACCCTGGGGCTCACACCAGGGCCTACCATGGTCCTGTTGGGTTGGCTGCCCCAGTCCCAGCCTATGGGCTAATGTCGCCTAACTGACCGCTCGCTCCCGGTCCCCGCGTGCGCACTATGGCTGCCACTCTGATCCTCACCCCCTCCCTCCCCACTCCTCCCTCCCCCCAAACCCTCCCCCTTCTGCATCTCTCCCGCTCTGTCCTCCTCTCTCTCCGTCCCTCGCGCCTTTTTTCCCCACTTGACCCTCCCACAACCTCCCTCTGTTCCAGCCTGGGAATCCTCCGCCGGCTGGGCTCACCGTTGGCTGTCCAGCCACACCGACTGCCCCATTCCCCACCACACTCGCCAGCCACCCCGGACACAGACCCGGGGAGCCAACCTCTTCTACCTCATCCCCATTCCCCCTACCCCTGCCTCACAACCTGGACCTCCCTCCCTCCCCACACACCCTTCTCTCAACCGCTCCCTCTGTAACAAGGCCCTGGTCATCAATGATCTCATCCTTGATGAGAGCGTTGACATCATGGCATTAACGGAAACCTGGCTCACCCCAGGCAACACCTTCACCCTCACGGAGGCCACACCACTCGGCTACACCTCCCACCACATCCCTCGCCCCAACCGCCATGGCGGTGGTGTAGCCCTTATCTCAAGGACACCATTTGCCCTATTCCCCCTACTCCTCTGGCTCTTTCCCCTTTTTTGAGCATCTCACCCTCTCCCACCCCTCCCATCTCTCACTCAAAATTCTCCTCCTCTACCAACCCCCTAAAACCTCTCCCACCTTAATCTCCGATATTTCTACCCTACTGCTCTGATCCCCTCATCACCCTGGGCGACTTCAACCTGTACTTCACCCCCTCCTGTTCCATCTCCTCAGACTTCTCCTCCCTCCTCTCCTCGCTCAACCTCTCCCTCCACATCAACTCCGCCACTCACATTCACGGCCACCCACTCGATTTGGTGATCACCCAGGGCCTCAGTGTCTCGGATGTCACCATTACCGACAAGGCCGTCTCCGACCACCACTTCATCTCCTTCACTACCTCCACCCCCCTCCCTACCTCCACCAGACCCACCACCATCTTCTACCGCCCCTGGAAGAAGTTACCCCCACAATCCCTAACCGCTGCCTTGGAGTCCTCTGAACTCCTCTCCCTCTGGCCTTCATCCCTCATTGATCATCTGCTCTCACTCTCCTCCACAACACCCTCTCCTCCACACTCGACCCTCTTGCCTCCATCACCTCCCGTACTGTTTCTTACTCTCGCTCCTACCCCTGGTTCACCACCCACCTCCGCTCACTGAAGAGCCAGGTGCGGGCCACTGAACGCACCTGCCTCAAATCTGGTCTAATGGTCCAACGGCAAATCTGGCTGGACCTCCTCAAAATCTACCGCTCCACTCTAGCCTCGGTCAAGTCGTCCTTCTACTCCAGGATAATCCTGGAGGTAAAGAACAACCCCAGACTTCTGTTCTCCACCACATCCCGACTCCTCCGTCCCCCCCGCCACCCCGCGCAGGTCATCTCCTCCAACCTTCACTGCGAGGAGATGCTGGATTTCCTTGAAACCAAAATCAAGGGAATCCGCTCCACGATCACTGCCCCTCCAACTTCCACCCAACCCCCCACCCCTTCCCTCCCACATTCCGACTCCCACCCATCCCCCCCTACACACCTTCGAACCCGTTTCCCCACCCTCATTCACCAAACTCATCCTGTCCTTGAAACCCACCACCTGCTCCCTGGACCCCATCCCCACTCCACTCCTTATCTCTCAGCTCCACCTCCTTGCCCCACTTCTCAGACACTATTAACCTGTCCCTCTCCTCTGGCTCTGTTCCCATTCCCTTAAAAATTGCCACCATCACTCCTATATTGAAAAAACCCTCCCTTGATGCGTCGCAGCTATCAAGCTACCGGCCCATCTCCAACCTCACCTTCCTGTCCAAGGTTCTCGAAAGAGTTGTCGCCTCCCAGCTGCACTCTTTCCTCTCCACCCACTCACTTTTCAAACCCCTCCAGTCGGGTTTCCGTGCTGCCCATAGCACGGAAACCGCCCTGGTCAAGTTCACTAATGACATCTTGACCATCTGCGACCAGGGCTCCCTCTGCCTCCTCGTCCTCCTCGACCTATCGGCCGCATTCGATACGGTCGACCACTCTATTCTCTTCCACCGCTTGTCCTCCCACCTCAACCTTCAAGGCCCTGTCCTTGAGTGGTTTAGGTCGTACCTCTCCCACCGTCTTCATTTTGTCTCTGCAAACGGCTTTTCCTCCACCCCCCGCACTGTCTCGTGCGGTGTCCCTCAGGGCTCTGTCCTCGGTCCCCTCCTCTTCGCCCTCTATATGCTCCCCCTGTGGTGATATCATCCGCAGACACGGGGTTCACTCCCACATGTATGTGGATGACACCCAACTCTAACTTTCCTCCTCTACCCTCAACTCCACGACCCCCGATGTCCTGACAGCTGTCTGTCCGACATCGAGTCCTGGACGAGAGACAACTTTCTTCAGCTCAACGTACGTAAAACTGAGGCCCTCCTGATTGGCTCACGTCAGCGCCTCCGCACCTCAGGCGCTGACAGCATCAGTATCCAAGGCTGCACTCTCCACCTCTCAAAGCCATCAGGAACCTCGGGGTTCCCCTCGACCCTGAGCTGTCCTTTCTCCCTCATATCCGCGCCACAACCGGCACCGCCTTCCATCACCTCCGGAACATCGCCAGACTATGGCACTACCTCACCCCTCACGCGGCTGAAACTCTGGTTCACGCCTTTATCACCTCAAGGCCGGACTATGGGAACTCTCTCCTCATCGGCCTTCCCGCCACCTCCCTCCACACTGCAGGTCATTCAGAACTCTGCAGCTCGTGTACTGTCCCGCACCAGACACCGCGACCACATCACTCCCACCCTCGCCCTCACCCTCGCCCTCACTCCCACCCTCGCCCTCACCCTTGCACTCACTCCCACCCTCGCCCTCACTCCCACCCTCACCCTCACTCCCACCCTCGTCTTCACCCTCGCCCTCACCCTCATCCTCACCCTCGCCCTCACTCCCACCCTCGCCCTCGCCCTCACTCCCACCCTCGCCCTCGCCCTCACTCCCACCCTCGCCCTCGCACTCACCCTCGCCCGCCTCCACTGGCTCCCCATCCCCCAGAAGATCGAATTCAAGATCCTCATCCTCACCTACAAGGACATTCACGGCCTCGCTCCCTCCTACCTCTCTGACCTACTATCCCCCCACGTACCTGCCCGTACCCTCCGTTCCTCTGGCTCCGGTCTGCTCCACATCCCCCGCCCCAACCGCCCTACCATCGGTGGCCGGGCCTTCAGCCTCTTAGCCCCGAGGCTCTGGAACTCCTTCCCCCAGTGCCTTCACCTTTGCCTCCTCCCTTTCCTCCTTCAAGACCTTTCTCTTTGACCGTGCCTTCAGCTCCCCTCTCGACTCTCTACCCCCTCCTCGCTCCTTCCCTCCTCTCACCCTGACCATTTCCCCACTGCTCGGGTCCCGACCCAACTGTCCAGCACCTTGGGACGTCCTCCCATCGTGAAAGGCACTCTATAAATGCAATCTTGTTGTTGTTGTTCAAGACGTCTTAAAGCCCTTCACATAATATACTGTAAAGTGAATTGACTGTATATTTTGTGGGTGGAACCCAGGAGCCAATTGTGCACAGCAGTGTCCCACAAACAGTCGTGGATTGAATGACCAAATTATTGTTTCGAAGGCGTTATTATCCCAGAAAGTGATCCTCTAATCGATTAATAATTGCGTTCCTATTTACTGCTACGTAAACAGAGTCGTGTGGAGCAAGGAAACTTGCTCAACGTTTTGCCCTGCTGGGAATTGAACCCGAGTCTCTGGTCTGCGAGGCGAGTGCTCTAACCATATATAGTGAGTCCTGTAGCTCAGTTGTTAGAGCACTCGCGTCGCAAGCGAGAGGACCTGGGTTTGATTCCCGGGCAGGACGAAACGTTGGGCAAATTTCCTCACTCCACTCGCCTCTGTTTACCAGCAGAACGTAGGAACTCAGTTGTTAGTTGTTTGGAAGATCACTTTCTGGGGGTAATAATCCCTTCAAAAAACTATAACAATAATAATTTGGTCACTTCAATCCACGAATGTTTGTGGGGACTCTGCTGTGTGCAATTGGCTGCCGCGTCATTCAGAACTCTGAAAATATTATTATTATTATTAATAATTCACTTTACAGTGTATCCTGTGAAGCGCTTTGAGACATCTCGAAGACGAGATGAGGCGCTGTATCAAATGCCAGGATTATTATTATTATAGTCTGTGGAGTTTGTGACAAAAAGATACCATAAAGAGAGGAAGGAATTGAAAGAAAGAGAGAGAGGACTCACGTAAGACCGTTACCTTTTGTGGCTGACAGACAGACAATGGCAGATGTAGCAGCGCGGCTTGTGCCCGGGGCCCTGCCGGGGCTCTGCTGGATGTGAGGCCTTGTCCAACTCACTGCAGCCTGGTGCAGCTTCGGCTCTGGAGAGGCGTCGCCATGGTAACTGCAGTCTCGGCGCGTTGCATCCTGGGCGATGTAGTCTCTCCCACCCCGCGAAGCGCGGAATGCTGGGTGGTGTAGTTTCCCTCTCCACCCCCCATTCATACGTCTGCAAATCCCAGGAGCCTCTCTGCTCTGATGCGCAGGATGCTGGGAGACCGAGTTTCACTGAGTGAGAAAACATCTTGTCCCGGGATGCTTAGCGCCGGCGGCTCCGCCGCGCCATGAGCTGCAGGCGGGAAATCCGGCTCCTCACCCAATCAGCGCGCGCCACCTCCACCCCCGGCGCTCAAGCTGCGGACAGTCAAGATGGCGGCGGCATCGGCGCGGGGCGGCAAGAACGGTATCCTGGCTAAAGTGAGTGTAGTGTGTATGAGTGCCTTCAGCCACTATGCCCCGAGGCTCTGGAACTCCCTCCATCTCGCTCCCTCCCTTCCGATTTTCAGGTTTCTGCTGAAAACGTTTCTTTTCGACCACACCTTTGATCACCTTCCCCCCCCCCCACCACCCCAGGGAGTAGTGTGTGGGTGGTGGGGCTGACAGCATCAGCGTCCAAGGCCGCACTCTCCACCTCTCAAAGCCATCAGGAACCTCGGGGTTCCCCTCGACCCTGAGCCGTCCTTTCTCCCTCATATCCGCACCACAACCGTCACCGCCTTCCATCACCTCCGGAACATCGCCACTACCTCACCCCTCACGCGGCTGAAACTCTGGTCCACTCCTTTATCACCTCAAGGCCGGACTATGGGAACGCTCTCCTCGTCGGCCTTCCCGGCCCTCCCTCCACACTGCAGGTCATTCAGAACTCTGCAGCTCGTGTACTGTCCCCCACAGACACCGCGACCACATCACTCCCACCCTCACCCTCGCCCTCACACTCGCACTCACTCCCACCCTCGCCCTCACCCTCACTCCCACCCTCGCCCTCACCCTCACTCCCACCCTCGCCCTCACCTTTGCCCTCACTCCCACCCTCGCCGTCACCTTCGCCCTCACTCCCACCCTCGCCCTCACTCTCGCCCTCGCTCCCCTCCACTGGCTCCCCATCCCCCAGAGGATCGAATTCAAGATCCTCATCCTCACCTACAAGGCCATTCACGCTTCCTCCCTTTCCTCATTCAAGACCGGTCTCAAGACCTTTCTCTTTGACTGTGCCTTCAGCTCCACTCTCGACTCTCTACCCTCTCCTCGCTCCCTCCCCTCCCTCCCCTCACCCTGACCATTTCCCCACTGCTCGGGTCCTGACCCAACTGCACAGCGCCTTGGGACGTCCTCCCGACGTGAAAGGCGCTCTATAAATGGAATCTTCTTGTTGTAGTAGTGTGTGAGTGAGTCGTGTGTATAGTATGTGAATGATTTGTGTGTACAGTGTGAGTGGTGCGCGGGCGTGGGTGGTGCGTGCGTGGTGTGCGTGGTGCGCTCGCGTGCATGCGTGGTGCGCGTGCGTGGAGTGTGCGTGTTGTGCGTGCGTGTGAGTAGAGTGTGCGTGTGAGTAGAATATGAGTTGTGTGTGTGCAAGTGCATGAGTGCGAGTGTAAGTAGAGTGTGCGAGTGTAAGTAGAGTGTGCGTGTGAGTAGAGTGTGCGTGTTTGTGTGAGTAGAGTGTGTGTGAGTGAGTAGAGTGTGTGTGTGATTGAGTAGTGCGGTTGAGGGTGCGTGCGTGTGAGGAATCTGTGGGTGTGGGGTGCGTGGGTGGGGGAGTGAGGGGTGTGTGGGTGGGTGAGGGTGTGTGAGGAGTCTGTGTGTAAGGGTGTGTGCGTGTAAGTGTGTGTGTAGAATGAGTAATGTGTAGAGCGAGTGAGTAGTGTGTAGAGTGAGTGAGTAGTGAGGGTGTGTGTGTGAGGGTAACACACACTCTGCTCAGCCGGCTCTGGCTGCTCCATCATTGGTGGGAGAGCCTTCAGCCACTCTGCCCCCAACCTCTGGAATTCCTATAGATGGGAGCCCTGTAGCTCAGTGGTTGGAGCATTCACCTCGCAGTGAGAGGACCTGGGTGAAACTTTAGGCAAGTTCCCTTACTCCACATGGCTCTGTTTACCTAGCAGTAAGTAGAGATCCAGTTGTTAGTCAATTGGCAGATCACTTTTCATAGGTAATAATCTCTTAAAAAAATATATTAAAAACATTAATAATTTGGTCACTCAATCCACAACTGTTTGTGGGACACTGCCGCACACAATTGGTGGAGCAATTCTCACTGTGGTTTTCCTTCTCATTTTGTTTATTGTTGTTGTTAGTGGAAGATCGATGACAAAGTGGTGAAGGTTGACAAATGGGACGGAGCAGCTGTCAAAAACGCCCTGGACGATGCCGCCAAGAAGGTGAGGAAATGGTGACGGGACCTGGAGCCGTCAAACAGAGCCTTGAACTGAGCACATCCCAGGCTGAACGTCTGTTAGCTACACACACCCTGTCAACTTCAGCCCCCAATGGAGAGCTCTCTCATGGTACCTAGTGGTGTAAGATACCTCCTAATGCAGCTGCAGACAGATGCGGGTTCGTGGAGGGCAGTAGCATAGTGATTAGAGCGCTCACAAGCGAGAGGACCCAGGTTCAATTCCTGGGCAAGGCAAAATGTTGGGCAAGTTTCTTTACTCCACACGTCTCTGTTTACCTAGCAGTAAGTAGTAGATTGGTGGATTGCTTTACGGTTGTAATAATTCCTTAAAAAAAAAAAAATTTGATCACTCAATCCACGACTGTTAGTGGGACACTGCTGTGTGCAATTGGCTGTTGTGTTTTGTCCCCAAAAGACAGAGTCTCTACATTTTACAGTGTATTCTGTGAAGCGCTTTGAGACGTCTCAACGACGAGATAAGGCACTATATTAAATGCAAGGATTATTCTAAGGGCTTTTGGTGCTGAGTGCCATGCAGAGGCCCACCACAAAAACATTTGTCAGCTGTGGACAAGATAGGTACTCAGCTGCAGTCACACTCCCGACCAAACTCTGCTGCCCCCACATCAACGTCTTCTCAGCCTTTCATTGTTCCTCCCTTCTCGCTCTCTCACTCTTAGGTTCTTCTGGAGAAATACTGTTGCGAGGAGAATTTTGGGCTGATCGACGGGCGCCTCATCATTTGCACCATCTCCTGCCTGTTTGCCATCGTGGCCCTGGTCTGGGACTATCTGCATCCCTTTCCAGACTCCAAGTTTGTCCTGGCTGGCTGTGTGCTTTCATATCCTTTACACAGAGGGTCTTCCTTCATCAGTCAGTCGGTCCAGCAACAACAAATTGCGCCCTTCACGCGGGATAACATCCTAGAGCGCTTGACAGTGGCGGAGTCTAACCCTGAGCCGGGGGGAGAGGGCTGGGGGAGGTGATTATAAGCACGATTGAAAAGGAAGGTCTTTAGGCGTGATTTAAAGGTGAGGAAGGAGGGAGGGAAGTAGGGGGAAAGGTGGAGGGATTGAGGGAGAGTTCCAGAGTTTCAGGGCATAATGGAGGGGTGGAGGGGACAAGAGACAAACTGGAGGCTGGAGCCAGCTGAGTGGAGGCAGTGGCTAGTGGAGTGGGGGGTAAGCAAATCGGATAGGTAGGGAGGTGCGAGGGCATGAAGGGATTTGAAGATGAGTGAGGGGAACTTGAAATTGATACGTTCGGTAATTGGGAGCCAGTGGAGGCAGGTAGAGAGTAGGGAGGAAAATAACATATCGGGAATGGTCAGATTTTCAACCTGGCAAAGTGAAAGTGAGTGACACTGGGCTGGGCAGAAGGTTGTAGTTCGAGCCCCACTTTGGGGACTTTGAGCTCATAATCTATCCTCATGCTACGCAGGAACAGAGTAGGCCACATTCAGCCCCTCAAGCCAGTTCTGCCATTCTATAAAATCATGGCTGATTTATATCTCAACACAAATTACCTTCCTTTGCCCCGAATTCCTTGGTACCTAACAAACATCTATCCACCTCAGTCTTGAAAATGCGAATGGATGTGGATAATCCACAGCCTTTTGGGGAGAGAGTTCCAGATTCCCACTTTGGGTGAAAAACTGCCTCCTGATTTCACTCCTAAACGGCCTAGCGCTAATTTTAAGATTATGCCCCTTGTTCTGGAATCCTCCACCAGAGGAATGGTTTCTCTGCAGCTGCCCTATCATTATTACAGTGCTGGGAGAGCACTACATTGTTGGAGGTGCAATCCTTCAGATGAGATGAGGCCCTGTCTGCTTGTTCAGGCGGACATCAAAGATCTCATAGCGCTGTTCGAAAAGAGAAGGGAGTTTCTCCTGGTGCCCTGCTCGATCATCCCTTCGCCACCCCCCCGCCCGCCCGATAAATAATAATAATAATCCTTGCATTTGATATGGATTCTTATCACGTGGTTGAGACATCTCAAAGTGCTTCACAGAATTTACTGTAAAGTGTAGTGAGTGTATTTTGTGCGTATTTACCTACCAATTAGGAATGTTATTCACAAAGTGGGCTATCACATTCACCTACACTTTACGGTAAAATCCTGTGAGGGTGTTTGAATGGCTTTGCTGTGCGAGGTGGCACTATACCAAATGCAAGGATTCCTCTGATGGAAGTTTGAAAATTGTGAAGGGAGAATGCACCTTGAAGAGATCAGGGAATAAAGAAGCGAGCGTCACATTGATGTGTTTTTAAAAAAACTAATATGTGCACAGTGAGAAAGTGGTGGTTGACAGTTAGTCCATTATTGTGGAGGGGAGTCCTGTAGTGTAGTGGTTAGAGCACTTGCTTCATAAGCGAGAGGACCTGAGTTTGATTTCTGGGTAGGGCGAAACCGTAAGCAAGTTTCCTTACACAACAACAACAAGATTCCATTTATAGAGCGCCTTTCACGTCGGGAGTACGTGCCAAGGCCCTGTACATTTGGGTCAGGAAAAAGGGGAAAATGGTCAGGGTGAGGGGAGGGTAGAGAGTTGAGAGGGGAGCTGAAGGCACGGTCAAACAGAAAGCTCTTGAGACCGGCCTTGAAGGAGGAAAGGGAGGAGGCGGCGAAGCCACTGGGGGATAGAGTTCCAGAGCCTCGGGGCTGAGAGGCTGAAGGCCTGACCACCGATGGTAGGGCGGTTGGGTCGGGGGATGTGGAGCAGACCGGAACCAGAGGAACGGAGGGTATGGGCAGGTAAGTAGGGGGATAGTAGGTCGGAGAGGTAGGAGGGAGCGAGGCCGTGAATGGCCTTGTAGGTGAGGATGATGATCTTGAATTCGATCCTCTGGCGGATGGGGAGCGAGCGAGGGCGAGGGTGGGAGTGATGTGGGCGCGAAGCCTGGTGCGGGACAGTACACGAGCTGCAGAGTTCTGAATGACCTGCAGTGTGGAGGGAGGGCCGGGAAGGCCGATGAGAGAGTTCCCATAGTCCAGCCTTGAGGTGATAAAGGCGTGGACCAGAGTTTCAGCCGCGTGAGGGGTGAGGTAGTGCCGTAATCTGGCGATGTTCCGGAGGTGATGGAAGGCGGTGCCAGTTGTCGCGCGGATATGAGGGAGAAAGGACAGCTCAGGGTTGAACAGAACCCCGAGGTTCCTGATGGCTTTGAGAGGTGGAGAGTGCGGCCTTGGATGCTGATGCTGTCAGCGCCTGAGGTGCGGAGGCGCTGACGTGAGCCAATCAGGAGGGCCTCAGTTTTACACACGTTGAGCTGAAGAAAGTTGTCTCTCGTCCAGGACTCGATGTCGGACAGGCAGCTGTCAGGACATCGGGGGTCGTGGAGTTGAGGGTAGAGGAGGAAAGGTAGAGTTGGGTGTCATCCGCATACATGTGGAAGTTAACCCCATGTCTGCGGATGATGTCACCACAGGGGGAGCATGTAGAAGGTGAAGAGGAGGGGACTGAGGACAGAGCCCTGAGGGACACCGCATGAGACAGTTCGGGGGCTGGAAGAAAAGCCGTTCGTGGAAACAAAATGAAGACGGTGGGAGAGGTACGACCTAAACCACTCCAGGACAGGGCCTTGAAGGTTGAGGTGGGAGGACAAGCGGTGGAGGAGGATAGTGTGGTCGACCGTATCGAATGCTGCCGATAGGTCGAGGAGGACGAGGAGACAGAGGGAGCCCTGGTCACAGATGGTCAGGATGTCATTGGTGACCTTGACCAGGGCAGTTTCTGTGCTATGGGCAGCACGGAAACCCGACTGAAGGGGTTCGAATAATGAATGGGTGGAGAGGAAAGAGCGCAGCTGGGAGGCGACAACTCTTTCAAGGACCTTGGACAGGAAGGGGAGGTTGGAGATGGGCCGATAACTTGATAGCTGCCATGCATCAAGGGAGGGTTTTTTCAAGGTGGGAGTGATGGTGGCAGTTTTTAAGGAATGGGAACAGAGGCAGAGGAGAGGGACAGGTTGATGATGTCTGTGATATGTGGGGCAAGGAGGTGGAGCTGGGAGATAAGGAGTGGAGTGGGGATGGGGTCAAGGGAGCAGGTGGTGGGTTTCAGGGATAGGATGAGTTTGGTGACAGAGGGTGGGGAAACGGGTACGAAAGTGTGTAGGGGAGGATGGGTAGGAGTCGGAGTGTGGGAGGGAGGGGGTGGGGGGGTGGGTGGAGGTTGGAGGGGAAGTGACCGCGGAGCGGATTCCCTTGATTTGGATTCAAGGAAATCCAGCATCTCCTCGCAGTGAAGGTTGGAGGAGATGACCTGCGCGGGGTGGCGGGGGGGACGGAGGAGTCGGGATGTGGTGGAGAACAGTAGCCTGGGGTTGTCCTTCGCCTCCAGGATTATCCTGGAATAGAAGGACGACTTGGCCGAGGCTAGAGTGGAGCGGAAGATTTTGAGGAGGTCCAGCCAGATTTGTCGTTGGACCGTTAGGCCAGATTTGACAGGTGCGTTCAGCGGCCCGCACCTGGCTCTTCAGTGAGCGGAGGTGGGTGGTGAACCAGGGGGAGGAGCGAGAGTAGGAGACAGTACGGGAGGTGATGGGGGCAAGAGTGTCGAGTGTGGAGGAGAGGGTGTTGTGGAGGAGGGTGAGAGGAGAAGAGGGGTCAGTGAGGGTTGAAGGCCAGAGGGAGAGGAGTTCAGAGGACTCCAAGGCAGCGGTTAGGGATTGTGGGGGTAACTTCTTCCAGGGCGGTAGAAGATGGTGGTGGGTCTGGTGGAGGTGGGGAGGGGGGTGGAGGTGGTGAAGGAGATGAAGTGGTGGTCGGAGACGGCCTTGTCGGTGATAGTGACATCCGAGACACTGAGGCCCCGGGTGATCACCAAATCGAGTGGGTGGCCGTGACTGTGAGTGGGGGAGTTGATGTGGAGGGAGAGGTTGAGTGAGGAGAGCAGGGAAGAGAAGTCTGAGGAGATGGAGCAGGAGGGGGTGAAGTGCAGGTTAAAGTCGCCCAGGATGATGAGGCGATCAGAGCAGAGGCAGAGAGATGTAAGAAATGTCGAAATATCGGAGATGAAGGTGGGAGAGGTTTTAGGGGGCCGGTAGAGGAGGAGGATTTTGAGTGAGAGGAAGGAGGGGTGGGAGAGGGTGAGGTGCTCGAAAGAGGGGAAAGAGCCAGAGGAGTAGGGGGATAGGGCAAGTGGTGTCCTTGAGATAAGGGCTACACCACCGCCACGGCGGTTGGGGCGAGGGATGTGGTGGGAGGTGTAGCCGGGTGGTGTGGCCTCCGTGAGGGGGAAGGTGTCGCCTGGGGTGAGCCAGGTTTCCGTTAAGGCCATGATATCAACGTTCTCATCAAGGATGAGATCGTTGATGACCAGGGCCTTGTTACAGAGGGAGCGGACGTTTTGTAGTCCGATGTGGAGGGAGCGGTTGACAGAAGGGTGTGTGGGAGGGAGGGAGGTCCAGGTTGTGAGGCAGGGGTGGGGGAGATGGGGATGAGGGAGGAGAGGTTGGCTCCCCGGGTCTGTGTCCGGGGTGGCTGGCGAGTGTGGTGGGGAATGGGGCAGTCGGTGTGGCTGCTGCTGGACAGCCAACGCCGAGTGCCACGGTGAGCCCGGCGGAGGATTCCCAGACTGGAGCAGAGGGAGGGGGTGTGAGGGTCAAGTGGGGATAGAAGGCGAGAGCGACGGAGAGAGAGAAGGACAGAGCGGGAGAGATGCAGCGGGTTAAGGGTTTGGGAGGAGGGAGGGGGCGGGTGAGGGCCAAAGCGGCAGCCATAGTGCGCACGCGGGGACCAGGAGCGAGCGGTCAGGTGGATAGCATTAGCCCATGGGCTGGGGCAGCCAACCCAACAGGACCATGGTGGGCCCTGATGTGAGCCCTGGGGTGGGGGCGCAGAGGTTTTTTTTTGTTGCACGCGCACACTCCTGAAAACTAAACTATGACATCAGCGGTTCGCCCGCTCTGCCCCCACCCCTTCCCCCCTCAGATCCTGGCTGCACTCCCTGCCGCCGCGAGCTTAAATACTTGAGTAGGTAGGCCCAGGCTCCTCCCCGCGCTGTCCTGCCGCCGCTCCCCGCGTGGGATTTACCGAGCAGTAAGTAGGAACCTGGCAGTTAGTTGATTGGCAGGTTGCTTTTCCAGGAGTAATAATCCTTTTTTTAAAAAAAAGATTTATACTCGATCCACGATTGTGTGTGCACAATTGATTATTGCGTTTTGCCGACAAAATACAGTCACTACAATATTATACACAGGTATATTCTGTGAAGTGCTTTGAAACGTCTGAAAGACGTGATAAGCTGCTATATCACATGCACAGATTGTTATATTATAATAACTCAGATTACCGCGCTGTCCACCCTTGTTTGTGTCTCTTCCTTAACTGTTCAGCACCTATTTTGTTATGATGGGGATCCTCACCTTCTACACCTCCTATAAAGAGAAAAGCATCTTTTTAGTGGCTATAGACAAGGATCCGGCTGGGTTGGACCCCGCGGATGTGTGGCAACTCTCCTCCTGCCTCCGCAGGTACTGGGGCTTCTCTTCTCCATTGTCCCCCATGGAGTCCTGTAGCTCAGTGGTTAGAGCACTTGACTCGCAAACAAGAAAACCTGGGTTCGATTCCCAGGCAGGTCAAAATGTTAGGCAAGTTTCTTACTCCACACACTTCTGGTTACCTAGCAGTGAGTAGGAACCCACTTGTTACTTGACTGGTGGATGGATCACTTTTCCGAAGTTAATAGTTCATTGAAAACAAAAATAAATAAAAATAAATTGGTCACTTCAATCCACGACTGTTTGTGGGACAATGGCTGTATGCAAATGGCTGCCGTATTTCGCCCACAAAACACGCAGTCACTACACTTTATAGTATATCCTGTGAAGCGCTTTGAGGCGTGCCAAAAACGTGATAATGTACTATATCAAATGCAAGGATTATTATTATTGATGAAGATGCATTTCCCTTGTGTGCTGCAGGTTTGATGACCAGTACACTCTGAAGATGACTTTCATCGATGGACGGACCAATCAGGAGCGTGAGCGGGAGTTTACCAAGTCGGTGGAGTGTTTCTTTGATGATGGCGGGGCGCTGGTCATGGATCTGTATGAGCCCGAAGTCTCTAAGTTGCACGACTCGCTGGGCAAGAAGAAAAAGCAGAAATAAAAGTGTGTCAGAGATTCAATGCCAACCTGTTATCTTGGGCTCCTGCTGAAACACCAAACCTCACTAGGATTTTGACCCCAAACTTATTCCACCGGTGATGTGCTTTGAGATGGTCACACACGACCGGTCTGCTTGCTAGATATAGTGTCAGCCTGACTTAGTTACTTGTGTTCTCGCCTCTGGGTTAGTTTGTGGGCCATGGGTTCAAGCCCAATGTCAGGGCTTGAGCTCAGTCCAGGCCGAGGCTCCAGTGCAGTTCTATGGTGAGTGCTGCAATGTCGGAGGTGCTGTCCTTTGCAAGAGACATTGAAAGTGAGCTGTCCTCCATCTGTCCAAATGGATGTGAAAAATCCAGTGACTTACAAACGAGGAGTTCCTCTCTCACCAAAACCCAGATAAATCACTTATTCACTTCATTCCTGTTTGTGGGAGCCAGTTGGCTGCTGTATTTGCCAACACGATACACAGCCACTATACAGTAATTGTGAAGCTCTTTGGGATGTTTCAATGATCTAGGTGTCATCATAAAGTTCTTAAAGGGATCATAAAAGTTTTTTTTATTTGCAGCACACACAAGCAGTAAACTCGGTTTACCTAGCAGTAAATAGCCAACCGATGGTTAGATGATTGTCGTATCGTTTTCCAGGCTTATTAATCCCTTAAAAACAAACTATTTGGTTGCTCAATCCACGTTTACGGGACACTGCTGCGCAATTGGCTGCCGGATTTAGCCCACGAAATATGCAGTCACTACACTTTACAGTATATTCTGTGAAGCGCATTGAGACGTCTTAAAGACATGTGATAAGGTGCCATATCAAATGCAAGCATTGTATTTCTTATTATAACTAATCATTCCACTGGTGTCCCCACTGATCTTTGCTGTGAGGAGCGAGATTGAAGAATCATTGCTGCACACTGGTTAAAAATTCATCTAGTTGTGGCCCTAGGTTTGAATCCACCCAGTTTGCTAATCTCATTTGAGCGACATCTAATTTCTTCTCTGCAAGAAGAAAAAATCATTCAGGTTCTGCTATGCAGTGTCTGCACACAGCAAACTTTGAAAGTGTTAAAGTTGATTGGTCAATTGATGGATTGCTTTCCAGGGTGAACTGAAGCCAACAATTTCCCCCCCAAAAAATTGGTCGCTCAATCCACAATTGTGGGATACTGCTGTGCGCAATTGGCTGCCGTGTTTCATCCACAAAATATATAGCCAATACACTTTATAGTATACGCTTTGAAGTGTTTTGTTGCGTCTCGAAGATGTGATGCGGTACTAAATTAACTACAAGGATTATTCTGTTAAGCGCTTTGAGACATCTCAACAATATAAGGCGCTATATCAAATGTAAAGATTATTACTACAACAAAGATCTTCAGAGTCCAGGGGAACGGTATAAGTGGAAGTGAGAAAAGCTATGCCATCAGTGAAATGGAGGAAGAAAAGGCAAGCAGGATGATCCTGGAATTCCATCCCAAATTGCAAGAACCTCGGGAAGCTGAGAATGTTCTTCCTGTAAATTAGTTGCAGGTGAAGGGGATTTGTCAGGGCGGAGGGGTCACTGACGGTCTCTTGAACAGGTTGGATTCCAGGGCAGAGCGAATCCTCACAGCTTATTATTGTTATTCTGTGAAGCGCTTTGAGACTTCCGGAAGATGTGGGAAAGCGCTGTATCAATGCAAAGATCATCAGTCACTACACTGACACGCGCTTCAATCACCGGCTCCTGTCAATCAGATCGGCGCAGTCTCTGACCAATGGGAAGCAGGGCTGGGGCTGACCAATGGGAAGCAGGGCTGGGGCTGACCAATGGGAAGCAGGGCTGGGGCTGACCAATGGGAAGCAGGGCTGGAGCTGACCAATGGGAAGGAGGGCTTGGGCTGACCAATGGGAAGGAGGGCTTGGGCTGACCAATGGGAAGCAGCGCTGGGGCTGACCAATGGGAAGCAGCGCTGGGGCTGACCAATGGAAAGAGGGACTGGGTAATGGGGGCGGGGCTGTTGGCCTAAGATGGCGGCGCTGCTGGGCCTGGGCCTGATGCTGGGCCCGGAGTTGGAGCTGGAGCGGGAGGGGGAAGGTGTGGGGGTGGGACACGGACACGGGCTGCACGGAGAGCACAAGGTGGACCTGGACGCGGTGAGGAGGCGGCAGCGGCCGTGGTGATTGATTGATTGATTGATGATGGCCGGTGGCCCGGTGCAGGCGCTCAGCAATGTCACCACTTGTCCTGTCACAGCTTCCGCCCGAGCGGCGGAGCTCTTCACAAACACAAAAGGAAATGGATAGAAGGATATGTGGACACGATCATCAAATATATATGTTTTCTGATGAGTGGAGCCTGGCGAGGGCGGGGGTGATGGGGTGGGGAGTTTAGTGTGTGTGATGGGGATCCAGTGGAGCCTGGCGAGGGCGGGGGTGATGGGGTAGGGAGTTTAGTGTGTGTGTGTTGGGGACCCAGGATATACTGTAAAGTGTCTGCACTTGGCTTTGTCCACGTGTGTCCAATGGCCCCTGATGGCAAGTCTTTGTGGAAATATTTGCAAATCCAAGTAACTGATTTGCAAATTCAGCTGCATAGCTGCTCCTGGCAACCAGGAGATTCTGTAGCCAAGTGGTTAATACACTTGCCTCACAAGCAAAATGACCTATGTTCGATTACCAGGCGGGCCAAAACCTTTGGCAAGTTTCCTTATACCACACGCCTGTTTACTTAGTAAACAGAAACTCGGTTGTCAGTTGATTGGCGGATTGCTTTTTGGGGCTAATAATACCTTCAAAAAAAAATCCATGACTGTTTGTGCGACGCCGGTGTGTGCAATTGGCTACTACGTTTCACCCACAAAATATTCAGTCAATTCACTTCACCAGTGAGATGAAAATGACCCGAAGGCTGCTGATCCTTACTATGTTTCCTCTCTTACAGATTGATCTGTCAAACCTGTCGCCAGAGGAAAGATGGAGGTGAGTTCAGTGTGTAGGATGAGGCTGGCCAGGTATTTGGAGGGGAGTGGCTGGTGTGCGTGAGAGCGGGGAGACTGGCTTAGTATGCGTGTGAGATTGGTCGAGTGTGTGTGTGAGAGACTGACCCTAGTGTGTGTGTGTGTGTGTGTGTGAGACTGACTTAGTGTGTGTATGTCTGACCTACTGTGCGTGTGTGTGTGTGTGAGACTGACATTGTGTGTGTGTATGTGTGTGAGACTGACGTAGTGTGTGTGAGGGAGACTGATCTAGTGTGTGTGTGTGAGAGCGACCTTGTGTGTGTGTGTTTGTGTGAAACTGGCCTTGTGTGTGGCCCATGTCTGTGTGAGACTGGCCAACTGTGAATGTCTGACCTAGTGTGTGTCTGTGTGAGACTGACCTAGTGTGTGTGAGATATTGACCTAGTCTGTGTGAGTGAGACTGATCTAGTGTGTCTGTGTCTATGTGTGTGGGACTGACCTAGTGTGTGTGTATGCGTGAGAGACTGACAGTGTCTTTGTGTTTGAGACTGACCTAGTATGTGTGTGAGAGACTGACCTTGTGTGTGTATGTAAATGGCCTTGCGTGCAACTGACCTGGTATGTGTGTGTGTGTGGGACTGAAGTTGTGTGTGAGACTGACCTGGTTTGTGTGTGTGTGTGTGGGGGACTGACCTTGTGTGTGAGACTGACCTGGTTTGTGTGTGTGTGACTGACCGTGTGCGTGTGTATCTGTGTGTGAGACTGACCTAGTATGTGTGTGTGGGGGGGGGGGGGACTGACCTTGTGTGTGTGTGTGTGTGAGACTGGCCGTGTGTGTGTGAGAGAGACTGACCTAGTGTGCGTTTGTGTGGGGGACTGATCTTGTGTGTGAGACTGACCTGGTTTGTGTGTGTGTGTGTGTGTGTGGGACTGACCTAGTGTGTGTGCGTGACTGACCTAGTATGTGTGTGTGTGTCTGACTGTGTGTGTGTGTGTATGTGTTTGTGTGAGACTGGCTGTGTTTGTGTGTGAGACGGAGGGGACTGACCTAGTGTGTGTGTGTGTCTGTGTGTGAGGCTGACCTGGTTTGTGTGCGTATGTGTGTGGGACTGACTAAGTGTGTGTGTTGGTGGGGGTGGGGGGGAGAACTGACCTAGTGTATGTGTGTGGGGAGTCTGACCTAATGTGTGTGTATGAGATTGATCTAGTGTGTGTGTGTGTGTGGGACTGACCGCGCGTGTGTGTACGGGGGTGGGGGGAAATCTGACCTAGTGTATGTGTGACTGACTTTGTGTGTGAGACTGGCCCTGTGTGTGTATGAGACTGACCGTGTGGTGTGTGTGTGTGTGTGTGAGACTGACCTAATGTGTATTTGTGTCTGTGTGTGAGACTATCCGTGTGTGTGTCTGTGTGTGAGACTGACCTAGTATGTGTGTGTGGGGGGATACTGACCTAGTGTGTATATGTGTGAGAGACTGAACTGTGTGTGTGTATGAGACTGATCGTGTGTATGTTGTGTGTGTGTCTGACCTTGTGTGTGTGTGTGTATGAGACTGATTGTGTGTGTGTTGTGTGTATGTGAGACTGGCCTTGTGTGTATGTATGAGACTGACCTAGTGTGTTTGTGTGTGAGAGACTGACTGTGTGTGTGAGTGAGACTGACTTACTGTGTGTGTGTATGGGGGTGGGGGAGTGCGGGGTAGGGGGAACTGACCTAGTGTGTGTGCGTGTGTAGTTTTGTGGGGGGAGACTGACCTAGTGTGTGTGTGTATGTGTGTGTTTGAGACTGGTCTAGAGTGAGTGTGTGTGTGTGTGTGGTGGGGGTGTGGGGGCGCGGGGGGAGGTGCTGACCTAGTGTGTGTGTGTGTGAGAGAGAGACTGGCTTAGTGTGAGAGAGAGAGAGAGAGAGAGTGTGTGTGCAGCGGGGTGGGGGTGTGTGAGTTGAAGCTGAGGGAGTGTGTTTGTGGCAGGGGAGGATTGTGTGCAGGTTGAGGCTGAGGTTCAGTGTTGGGAGTGAGGGAGCGGCTGGCTAGCTGCTGTGATTTGTGGGAGAGCTGACACTGGCTGATGTGGGGGTGTGTGTGCGTAGCAGCGTGAGCTCACTATCCAGGCTCTGCTCAAGTAAAGTGCTCCTTCTCCCCCACCCATGTTTAGGCCCCCAAACCTCTGACTCTTAAACTCACCGTGAGAAGGGCCCCCGTGAGGGTGGGGGGATTGACATTAACAGAAATTCTTTGTTTCCCTTGTTTTGAAGGGCTCCCCTCAGCGACCCGCGCTCAGTCAGAGCAGCCACCGAGTTCAGGAACATTCAGACCCCCGTCTGCATGGTCAGAACTGGCTGGTGATGGGAGCCAGCACGGCAACAGCAGTAAGTAGCTGTTCAGTGCCTACGGGGAACAAATAATAATAATCCTTGCATTTGATACAGTGCCTTATCAAGTCTCTGAGATGTCTCAAAGTGAATTGACTGTGTATTTTGTGGGTAAAACGTGGCAGTAATTGTGTACATCTTGAAATCAATCCGTAGTGTAATGGTTAGTGCACTCGCCTCGAAAAAGAAAGGACCCGGGTTCAATTCCTGTGCAGGACAGGGAAAAATGCTGATTCCTCAATTCCTGACTCCACACACCTCTGGATAACCTAGCAGTAAGTAGGACCCTAGTTGTTATTTGATTGGCAAATGCCTTCCGGAGGAAATAATGTAGTCAATCACTCCACGACTGTTTGTGCTGTGCGTAATTGGCTGCCACGTTTCGTCCACAAAATACACAATCCATATCCTGTGAAGCGCATTGAGGCATCTGAACAATGTGATAAGGTGCTATATTAAATGCAAGGATAATTATTATTTATTATTACACAGTAATCCTCTGGAGGATGGAGAGCTGGTGGAGTCGGGCGAGGATGGGGGTGATAGGGTCGCGGAGCCTGGTGCGGGAGAGGACACAAGCTGCAGAGTTCTGGATGATCTGCAGCCTGTGGAGGGAGGAGTTGGGGAGGCTAACAAGGAGGGAGTTGGCGTAGTGGAGCCTGGATGTCATGAATGTCTGGATGAAGATCTCAGCAACCTGAGGGGAGAGACAGTAGCAGAGGTGGGCAAAGTTGCGGAGGTTGGAAAGGCAGAGCGGGTCATGGCACAGATGTTACTCTTATCATATACAGCATAGAAGGAGGCCATTCAGCCCATTGTGTCTGTGCCGGCTCTTTGAAAAGAGCTTCCCAAATCAATCCCTTTCCCCTGCTCTCTCCCCATAGCCCAGCAAACTTGTCCTCCCCAAATAATTATCTATTTCTCTCTTAAGTTTTGTTATCAAATTGTCTTCCACCACCCTTTCAGGCAATGCATCCCAGATCCCAACAACTTGCTGTGTAAAAGAATTTCTCCTCTCCTCCCCTCTGTTTCTTTTAACAACTATTTTAAATCGATGTCCTTGGGTTACCGACCCACCCACCAGTGGAAATAGTTTCTGGTTCACCCTAACACATCCCCTCATAATTTTGAAAACTTCTATTAAGTCTCCTCTTAACCTTCTCTGCTCTAAGGAGAATAGTCCTAGCTTCTCTTCCCTCTCCTGATAACTGAAGTCCCTCATCCCTGTTACCATCCTGGTCAATCTCCTTTGCACCCTCTCCAATGCCTTGACATCCTTCCTAAAGTTGCCCAGAACTGAACAGTCTCTCGCTGAGGCCTAACCAGTGTTTTATAAAGGTTCATCACAACTTCCTGACTTTGGTATTCTATGCTCCTATTTAATACCTAGTGTCCCCTATGCTTTTTTTTTAACAACAAAAACAACAAGATTACATTTGTATAGCGTCTTTCACGTCGGGAGGACATCCCAAGGGCTGGACAGAGTACAGCGTTTCAAACCCGCGCTGGGGTTGGGGGAGGGGGGGAGGGGGGGAGGGTGGTGGCCGGGGGCATGGTCAAAGAGGAGGGTCTTGAATTGGGACTTGAAGGAGGCTAAGGAGGGGGCGAGGTGGAGTAATTGAGGGATGGAATTCCAGAGGTTGGGGGCAGAGTGGCTGAAGGCTCTCCCGCCAATGGTGGGGCGGGTGGGTCGGGGAACGTGGAGCAGGCAGAACCGGCTGAGCGGAGGGAGCGGGCGGGTTGGTAGGGGGTTAGGATGTCATAGAGCTAGGGTGGGGCGAGGCCATGGAGGGCTTTGTATGTGAGGACCAGGATCTTGAACTGGATCGATAGGAACAATAGGGAGCCAATGGAGTTGGGCGAGAGTGGGGGAGATGGGGTCACGGAGTTTGGTGTGGGAAAGGACACGGGCTGCAGAGTTCTGGATTATCTGTGGAGGGAGGAATTGGGAAGGCCGACACGCAGGGCATTTGCATAGTCGAGCCTGGAGGTGATGAAGGCATGAACAAGTGTTTCAGCGGCTGAGGGGTGAGGTAGTGGAGTCAGGCAATGTTACGAAGATGAGGGAAGGCAGAGCAGGTCATGGCTTGAATGTGGGGGAGAAAAGATAGTTGAGAGTCGAACAAGACACCTAAATTTCTGACTGGCGGTGAGTTGTAGTGTGCAACAGCTATACCTACATATTTAACAGGTTTGTCTACCTGTCCTGCCACCTTCAAAGATTTACTTGTATGATCCCCAGGTCTCTCTTTTCCTTCACTCCCTTTAAGATTGTACCATCAGCTTATATCGCCTCTCCTCATTCTTCCTCACAAAATACATCACTTTGTATTTCTCCACATTAAACTTCATCTGCCATGTGTGTGCCCATTTTATCAGTCTGTCTATGTACTAGTCTGGTGCTATCCTCCTCACTGTACTACTTTTCCTCGCTTAGTATCATCACTCATATCATCTAAGCTATGTCTCAATAGCTTTGCATGATTCACTATAAAGTGTAGTGACTGTTTTTGTGAGTAAAATTCTTAAATCCAGTGGAGTCCTGTAATGTAATGCTTAGATCGCTTGCCTTCGAGGTGAGATTTCGGAGATTTCACCCTGCCGGGTTCGAGTCCCAGGCAGGGCGAAATCTTAGGCAAGTTTTCTTACCCTACACACCTCTGTTTACCTAGCAGAAAGTAGGAACCGAGTTGTTAGTTGATTGTGTAGTTGCTTTCTTTTTAACAAGGGAACACAATGCTTCTGGATTAAATGTAAATCAAGACTTTCTCACCTCTGCTGCTCTTAAACTTAAAGGCAAGATGGTCTCACAAGCTGAACCCCAGTAGATTTTCGAGCTTCTGGTTTGGGCTCGATGGTCTGTCCTATGCTTATGTCATTTCTCAGCACCATCCCCATGTAATCAGAGTAAAGTGATCTTACAGTGAGGCCCTGTGTCGGCTGGGCTGGGAGCTGGTGTTGGGCTGGGAGCTGGTGTTGGGCTGGGAGCTGGTGTTGGGCTGGGAGCTGGTGCTGGGCTGGGAGCTGGTGCTGGGCTGGGAGCTGGTGCTGGGCTGGGAGCTGGTGCTGGGCTGGGAGCTGGTGCTGGGCTGGGAGCTGGTGCTGGGCTGGGAGCTGGTGCTGGGCTGGGAGCTGGTGCTGGGCTGGGAGCTGGTGCTGGGCTGGGAGCTGGTGCTGGGCTGGGAGCTGGTGCTGGGCTGGGAGCTGGTGCTGGGCTGGGAGCTGGTGCTGGGCTGGGAGCTGGTGCTGGGCTGGGAGCTGGTGCTGGGCTGGGAGCTGGTGCTGGGCTGGGAGCTGGTGCTGGGCTGGGAGCTGGTGCTGGGCTGGGAGCTGGTGCTGGGCTGGGAGCTGGTGCTGGGCTGGGAGCTGGTGCTGGGCTGGGAGCTGGTGCTGGGCTGGGAGCTGGTGCTGGGCTGAGAGGTGGTGCTGGGCTGAGAGGTGGTGCTGGGCTGGGAGCTGGTGTTGGGCTGGGAGCTGGTGTTGGGCTGGGAGCTGGTGCTGGGCTGGGAGCTGGTGCTGGGCTGGGAGCTGGTGCTGGGCTGGGAGGTGGTGCTGGGCTGAGAGGTGGTGCTGGGCTGAGAGGTGGTGCTGGGCTGGGAGCTGGTGTTGGGGTGGGAGGTGGTGCTGGGCTGAGAGCTGGTGCTGGGCTGAGAGCTGGTGCTGGGCTGGGAGCTGGTGTTGGGCTGGGAGGTGGTGTTGGGCTGGGAGGTGGTGCTGGGCTGGGAGGTGGTGCTGGGCTGGGAGCTGGTGCTGGGCTGGGAGGTGGTGCTGGGATGGGAGGTGGTGCTGGGCTGAGAGGTGGTGTTGGGCTGGGAGGTGGTGCTGGGCTGGGAGCTGGTGTTGGGATGGGAGGTGGTGCTGGGCTGAGAGGTGGTGCTGGGCTGAGAGCTGGTGCTGGGCTGGGAGCTGGTGCTGGGCTGGGAGCTGGTGCTGGGAGATATATTTAGCCGCTGTGGCTTTGTGTTGCAGGGTGGAGCATGCCCGGATGCACGCCAAACACCGGGGCCACGAGGCCATGCACGCCGAGATGGTCCTGATCCTCATCATCACCCTGGTCCTTGCCCAGATCCTCCTGGTTCAGTGGAAACAGAGACACCCCAAGTCCTACAACGTGAGACTCTGTCTAACCCACATAGAGCCACTCGCATCACAGTGCAGGAGAGCTTTCTGCAACCTCAGCCCAGCCCCTGACCTGCTAACCCTGACATGCCTGCCTCACCTCCTCTAACCTCACAGCCTCACCCGTTGCCCAAACCCCTTGCCCACCACCTCACCCCCTGACCCACTGCCCCGCCCCCGATGCACCGCCTCACTCCCTGACCCAGGGCAGTGAGTGGCGCAGGGAGTGGGTTAGGGGCAGTCGGTGGGTCAGGGGTGCTGTGTGTGAAGTGACTGTGCTGTGCGCAGTGACTGTGCTGTGTGTGCATTGACTGTGCTGTGTGTGCATTGACTGCTGTGTGTGCAGTGACTGTGCTGTATGCGCAGTGACTGTGCTGTGTGTGCAGTGACTGTGCTGTGTTCGCAGTGACTGTGCTGTGTTCGCAGTGACTGTGCTGTGTGTGCAGTGACTGTGCTGTGTGTGCAGTGACTGTGCTGTGTGTGCAGTGACTGTGCCGTGTGCGCAGTGACTGTGCTGTGCGCAGTGACTGTGCTGTGTGTGCATTGACTGCTGTGTGCGCAGTGACTGCTGTGTGCGCAGTGACTGTGCTGTGTGTGCAGGGACTGTGCTGTGTGTGCAGTGACTGTGCTGTGTGTGCATTGACTGCTGTGTGTGCAGTGACTGCTGTTTGTGCAGTGACTGCTGTGTGCGCAGTGACTGCTGTGTGCGCAGTGACTGCTGTGTGCGCAGTGACTGCTGTGTGCGCAGTGACTGCTGTGTGCGCAGTGACTGCTGTGTGCGCAGTGACTGCTGTGTGCGCAGTGACTGCTGTGTGCGCAGTGACTGCTGTGTGTGCATTGACTGCTGTGTGTGCAGTGACTGCTGTGTGTGCAGTGACTGTGCTGTGTTCGCAGTGACTGTGCTGTGTTCGCAGTGACTGTGCTGTGTGTGCAGTGACTGTGCTGTGTGTGCAGTGACTGTGCTGTGTGTGCAGTGACTGTGCCGTGTGCGCAGTGACTGCTGTGTGCGCAGTGACTGCTGTGTGCGCAGTGACTGCTGTGTGCGCAGTGACTGCTGTGTGCGCATTGACTGCTGTGTGCGCATTGACTGCTGTGTGCGCAGTGACTGCTGTGTGCGCAGTGACTGCTGTGTGCGCAGTGACTGCTGTGTGTGCATTGACTGCTGTTTGTGCAGTGACTGCTGTGTGTGCAGGGACTGTGCTGTGTGTGCAGTCACTGCACTGTTGCTGTGTGCACAGTGACTGTGCTGTGTGTGCATTGACTGCTGTTTGTGCAGTGACTGCTGTTTGTGCAGTGACTGCTGTGTGCGCAGTGACTGCTGTGTGCGCAGTGACTGCTGTGTGCGCAGTGACTGCTGTGTGCGCAGTGACTGCTGTGTGCGCAGTGACTGCTGTGTGCGCAGTGACTGCTGTGTGCGCAGTGACTGCTGTGTGCGCAGTGACTGTGCTGTGTGCGCAGTGACTGTGCTGTGTGCGCAGTGACTGTGCTGTGTGCGCAGTGACTGTGCTGTGTGCGCAGTGACTGTGCTGTGTGCGCAGTGACTGTGCTGTGTGCGCAGTGACTGTGCTGTGTGCGCAGTGACTGCTGTGTGCGCAGTGACTGTGCTGTGTGCGCAGTGACTGTGCTGTGTGCGCAGTGACTGTGCTGTGTTCGCAGTGACTGTGCTGTGTGTGCAGTGACTGTGCTGTGTGCGCAGTGACTGTGCTGTGTGCGCAGTGACTGTGCTCTGTGCGCAGTGACTGCTCTGTGCGCAGTGACTGTGCTGTGTGCGCAGTGACTGTGCTGTGTGCGCAGTGACTGTGCTGTGTGTGCAGTGACTGTGCTGTGTGTCCGTGTTTCTGGCAGCTGGTGACTCTATTCCAGATGTGGGTGGTCCCGCTGTACTTCACAGCGAAGCTGCACTGGTGGCGGTTCCTGATTATCTGGACTTTGTTCTCAGCCGTCACCGCAATTATCACCTTCCGCGCAACACGAAAGCCACTGGACAGAAGCACCCCCAGGTAAGGTTCAAGACCCTCCACCTTGACTGCACCTTCAGTCACCCCCACCCCTCCTGATCCCAAACTCCAGATCAGGTCCAAATCCCTGATTTCAATGGGACAATCTCGGGTGGGGGGGGAAGCCTGGCGTGGGGGGGATGTTTCCTGGCAAGAGGAGGGGAGACTGGTGAAGGGGAGGCGCTTGAGAGGGGGGAGCCTGACGAAATAAGCTCAATGTTTCGCCTCCCCCCACTCCCCCATTTTCTTCCCATTCTCCACCTTCACACATTGACATTATCTCAATGACTCTCTACCCCTCCATCCAGGGGTCCTCTCCCCCCCACCCCCTCCATCTACCACGAAGGAGACAGAGAGAGGGAGAGACAAAAAGAGAGACAGAGATAAAGAGCAAGACAAAAGATAGAGAGAAAGAGAGGGGAGTGGGGGCAGGTGCAGTGTCTGTACCCTCCTTTGCCCCTTCTGTCTCCCTCCCTCCCCAACATTCAACAAAGGTGTGATTTCAGTATTGTGTGCATGTGTGTGGGGAGGCGAGCAGTGTGGGGGGGGGGGGAGTGTGTGTGGGGAGGCGAGCAGTGTGGGGGGGGGGGGAGTGTGTGTGGGGAGGCGAGCAATGTGGGGGGGGAGTGTGTGTGGAGGTTAGCAGTGTGGGGGGGGGGGGAGAGTGTGTGGGGAGGTTAGCAGTGTGGGGGGGGGGGGAGAGTGTGTGGGGAGGTTAGCAGTGTGGGGGGGGGGGAGAGTGTGTGGGGAAGTTAGCAGTGTGGGAGGTGGGGAGAGAGTGTGTGGGGAGGTTAGCAGTGTGGGGGGGGGGGGGGAGTGTGTGGGGAGGTTAGCAGTGTGGGGGGGGAGAGTGTGTGGGGAGGTTAGCAGTGTGGGGGGGGGGGAGTGTGTGGGGAGGTTAGCAGTGTGGGGGGGGGGAGAGTGTGTGGGGAGGTTAGCAGTGTGGGGGGGGAGAGTGTGTGGGGAAGTTAGCAGTGTGGGAGGTGGGGAGAGAGTGTGTGGGGAGGTTAGCGGTGTGGGGAGGTTAGCAGTGTGGGGGGGGGGGTGTGGGGAGGTTAGCAGTGTGGGCATGTGTGTGCGCGTGTGGGGAGGCGAGCAGTGTGTAGGGGGGGGAGTGTGTGGGAGGTTAGCAGTGTGGGGGGGGGGGCGGGAGTGTGTGGGGAGGTGAGCAGTGTGTGGGGGGGGGGGGGAGTGTGTGAGGAGGTTAGCAGTGTGGCGGGGGGGTGTGGGGGGGGGAGGCGAGCAGTGCGGGGGGGGTGATGGGAGTGTGTGGGGAGGCGAGCAGTGTGGGGGGAGGGGAGTGTGTGTGGGGAGGCGAGCAGTGTGGGGGGGGGGGGGAGTGTGTGTGGGGAGGCGAGCAGTGTGGGGGGGGGGGGGTGGGGGGAGTGTGTGTGGGGAGGCGAGCAGTGTGGGGGGGGGGGGAGTGTGTGTGGGGAGGCGAGCAGTGTGGGGGGGGGGGGAGTGTGTGGAGAGGCGAGCAGTGTGGGGGGGGAGAGTGTGTGGGGAGGCGAGCAGTGTGGGTGGGGGGGGAGTGTGTGGAGAGGCGAGCAGTG